AAACCCGGTCAGAATTAATTTGAACCCCCCCCCCCCAATCCACCAAAGCAAGATTTTGACAACTTCACTAACCGATAAGAGCCATTAATTGACACTCAACAGGGCTCTAGTGTGAAAATCCGAAGAGGATTGACTTACTGATTGGTTCCCCGTCTGCCTTATAACCTGGCCAATTTCGTGACCTGCTCACTTGGCCTGGTGAAGCCTTTGTGTCAAAAGCGAAACGTTGTCCAAATAAAAACTACCGATTGTTTATCAAGGTCTCGTTAAACGGAACTCCTATTCGTTCGGCCACGAGCGGTATCATGTACTACTGCTGTTTACTGATCCATTATGGTAGACAGTGTCATGGGCTACAGTCATCCTCAACGTATTAGTCCGATTCTTCTCGCCATGGGAGAAAATGAAATACTATAGGAGAAATTGAAAGTGAACATTATGGATCAGAACGGCAGATTGGGATCCAAACCGGACCCATCATCATATGCATGAAGAGCCAGCTATTCAAGTACGCTTTCTGCGGTTTGGCTAATTGATTAGCCGGCCTCCGATGGGACGGTTAGTTGATGTACACCACCTGGTAGTGACGCAAGCCCTTCGTGGACTTCCAACTGGACGCCACTTTCGTCCCAGTGATGGAGACGTTGTTTTGTGATTAGGTAGTCCGATCATTAGGTGGGGTTGTGGGTAGCAATCTCGGCTCTCATTTGTTTCGGCTACCGTGAATCGTCTGTAGCTGGAGCTATCGAGGATTCAACTGGCTCGATAATCTTTAATCTTTACCAGTTGTTGGTATTAGGTTTTATTCTTGAGCCCGATTAGAACATTTTGCGGTATGGATTAAATGGTCTTCGGCCGCATATTTTCCATCAAGCGCCACTGAGCTCGTAATCCGAACCACCCCTACCTGAACCATTCAAGGAAGGAGGTAAGGTCATCCATCAATCAGCGTTCGTCCATCTGCTTCTATTTTGGGGGAGGGAAAGGAGGCTGTTCCAGAATTGAACTGGTTATAATGCCCACTTAAAAGAAAGGCCTGTGGATATGGCTGTTACCTAGCAATCAGTCTGACTTCAATTTTAACGAGACTCGGCGTCATTTGTCCTTAGTCACTTTGCGATCATCCGTGGGGCATTGACTCGAGGGCAGCAAACATATCTGGTTTAAGTTGGGTTGGTCATATCTTTACGTAATCAGAGCATCGACATACGCTCAGATGACCTATATTATTGGTATTCATGGATTTCCAAGGCTCATTCGACTATTGACCAATCTGTTCTCGTTAATACGCTTGCTCAGCGGATAATGTTACAATAATTTGTGAACATAAGTTATTTGTATTATCCGATTCGTGAGCGTGGGGAAGCTCACAAATTCCTTCGCACAAAAGGCAGTGTCTGACAAAGATCGTCACTGTCACCATTTCTATTCAGTTTCGATAACGACGAGAGAACGAAGCGAACGATGGAAGATCTTCCAAAAACATCAGCATACTGAAATTTCTTACGGATCTAGGGCCTAAGCCAGTCACAGCAGTTGGACACATCGTTTCACTGTTAGAATGAGGTGAATGTAAGCTTACACTCCCGGATTACGGAAAATAATTGATCTTGTTGTTGTGTTGTCAACTTGTTTTCGACTCCGTGTTGCATGAAGTTAATTTTTAAGATGCCTTTACGAACCGACTTTAGCTGGGCAGCAAGCTTCTTAAGACCGTGTATCCACTGTTTACTTTTCTAACACTTCACTTTCCTGTTTGTAGATAGGAAACTCGCACATAGTGGACGCTTCAAAAGAGGAAGAAGCTTGCTCTTTGTCTCGGTACATTCTATTCATTACTTCACTACTTCTCTACAGGCTTTCTGTGGTGGTCTATCCTGACGGCTGTACGGGCGATATGCTACAAGAAGGATGCGGGAGTTGTCAGCTCGGAACTATTATGGATATGTTTGAGGTTTGTATCCTTTACGAATCCTCATAACAACTTTAAAGCTTGCTAAGAAAGTTGGTATGGAATTAAACGGTGCACTTACGAAAACGCTGCGTTTGGAACGTGGATGCGGGAGTTGTCAGCTCGGAACTATTATGGATATGTTTGAGGTTTGTATCCTTTACGAATCCTCATAACAACTTTAAAGCTTGCTAAGAAAGTTGGTATGGAATTAAACGGTGCACTTACGAAAACGCTGCGTTTGGAACGTGAACTGCGGTCTTAGGATGCTCTGAGAGTGTGAAACAACTCCCCCTCCCCTGTAAATTACTTCTGTTTTGTAATAAATCAATCAGTGACGAATGAGATTTACTCTGAGCAGCGAGACCAATACATTGTGGATATCTAAAAATCAGCTTTACCATCAATTCATCACAAATTTATTCTACTGCACGACGCTTTGGCGCGCGAGTACTGCTTATTAGGTTATCCATAAGCCCTAGCCACATACTTACCTCAGAAGAGTTGGCTGAACATACGATTCAAGTAATCTACCACTCCAAATCCTTAAATGCACAAAAAGTCCATTCATAATGGCTGTAGTAGCAAAACGAATTCCAATCTTGCATTCCTTGTTTCCGCAGTCATGGGCATTGTGTCGTATGTACGGTGTCCTTCCGGCAAAATACGGTGATTCGTAAAATACATTGTTGTCAACGGCGGACTTAACTAAATTTCTCGTTCTTCGGTGGAATGTGCTGCACAAAGACCGATCGATGTTTGAGTTGACACGATATTCAAAATGTCGCTGTATACTTTCTTGACGTAACGCACCATTCCCAAGGCAGCTTAATACCGGTTTCGTTCTCTGAGATAATCGGGCAGGCGTAGTCCTCGGTTTTTCATCACCGAGCGCTCTTAGTGTGTGTTATATCAAGGAAATATACGTTGGTATTTCGAATACCGTGCCAACGGAGGTCTGAGGCGGTCTTTGTGGAGCTAACTCATTTGAGTAGTATCATAGACGAGAAATTCAACTGAGTCTATCGTAATTGCCAATGTAGTTTGAAAATAAACGTACAATTTGGTGTTAAAGTGGAACATAAGGTTGATGGAAACTCGGGGACTGCGCTACCCGATTAGCCTAGGGAAGGGTGAAATCACGCCGTTTGTTTTTTGAGTCAGTTCGCAAAAATGTAATAGCGACGTAAAAAAGCGTAACGGTGAACGTACCGTCGAAAGTCCAGTTGGTGAACTATATCAATGCTCACACAGCTAAGGATGGCTCAAAGGTTAGGGTGCAAACTTACGAATCGGAAAGTACCTTGTTGGAACCTAAAAACTCCGCATCTCGACTGCTCCTGTCTAGGCTTGGCGCCCTGGCAGTATCTCGGCCCTTCATCAGGTGGCTTGGCAACTAGGCACCGAAAGGATACTACAGTTGAACCATTGGTATATATTTGCTCAGAGTCGTTTTTGCGTCAGAGCAACGTTAGATACAACTCAGTGCGGCCTCGCGTTGCTGATTGTTTAGTCGCACGATTAACAGTCTCGACGGTACAGTGGTATGCGATGAACTGGCCCGCAGTGTATTGATTGCGTTACATCGGTTGGTGACCGCGTCATGGATGTTATGGTCCATATTATCTGCTTCGGTGGGTAATACCAGTAGGACTTAGTAGGGCATACCTACTGAGTCAAAGCGGGTATCGGAAGTGGGCTTGGGTCACATCAAGGGTGTAAATTTATAATCGTTCAGCTGTGGCACCGTTTCGGCGCCTATCTGCCATGCCACAAGTAGGAAGCACGGGGGCTGGGATATTTCCAGGTTGTCCAAGCCTAGACAGGGGAAGTCGAGAGACAGAGGTCAGGTTCGAACCATAAACCTTCCGTTCAGTAAATTTGCGATCTAACCACTTGAGCCATCTCGCCCCACATGAGAGGTGTGTTACCAATTTATTGAAAGGCTGTAGTCATTTCGAACTAGGACAAGGCCTTACAACAACCTTGTTCAGTTGATCACCGCGACAACCATGCCCAAACACAGCAGAATGATGGACTAGCCTGTTCTAAATTTCGTATTGGGGAGTGTTATTAACACCACTGTGACAATGTCCTTCGCCATTGCAAAACCGAATGTCAATTAGACGGTGAAACGGGGGTACGGAGATAGGACATTCGTCTTTCGAACATAATGCTAGGCCTGAAATCTGTATGTTCCCCAGTGAGTGTGATGACGGCCACTGCGTTCACTGTCGTGCGGTTGCTACACAGAAGCTGGATACTCAGCTTGCAGTGCGGTAACCTTCTGGCAATCTAACCGCCCAGTCGATATACGTAACCAAATATTAACTCAGGAGTCTCCATCCCCTTTGGGCGATAGCCGACTGAAGGTATATGTCGCGTTGTCCTACTCAGAGGCAACGCTCATCTCTTCATCGCCAAAGGACATTAAGTGTGAATTCCATCCCTGTCTTTTAAGGTCAACAACGACTTGTTTCGTGAGTATTTCGAATAGCCCTGTCCATGCACACTGGCGTATTTGTTCCGCATCAGGAAACTTTGCCTACCTGCAGGTTGTTTTCCATAGATAACGGGACCACACATGCGAAACTAGTGGACCACAACGTATCGTGTCATGCAGTGGAAACGGACCGCTCCAACTCCCCATGGCGGAATCCTCCGAACCACCATAATTTCGCGATTCAAACGGTAAAACTGGGCACTAGAAAGCCCAACCCAACAGGTTTTTCGTTTTTGCCTCCTTGCGTTTCAGTTGGCATAGCGGTAGCCTAGGATTATGGCCTTTGGTTCGTTCGGTGTGTCGAGTAATTCGATCGCAAGGGTCTTATCATCAAGCGGTCTAAGTTATTCATATGCCCTGAACAACGGCGTTCCATCGAAAACACTTGTGAGAACGTAGCGGGTGAGCATGAACCTGACGGCCGCCTCCGAATACTGTGAGCTTTGAAGAGTGTCGGCTTTAGCCACTGAAGACGGAACGGCAAGGTTACTATACATAGTGCAAGCAAAATTACTGTATTGACCCGACGTTAAACGGAAGCCGGTAGTATAGGTGTTCGTGCACACATTACCTTACGTTTAACGTAAGTGGTAAATTCAACCACAATCGGCATGACCGATTGATGAAAGTGATCGGTCAAATTTCGGGAAACCAAACCTCTTAACTCAATGCGATGGATCGGCTGGGGGAAAATTTACGGAAGTTGCACTTCAAATAAGTGCTTCTAATCAATCTTGATTTGATTCCCTGTTGCTCCAGGAAACTCATACATGAAACCGTCTTAGGCATAAATCTCCGAACAGATTAGTAGTTTCTGAACCCAAATTGAGGCAATTGGACGTCAAAGCAAGCAAGGCCGAGAGACAGAAGCTTAACTGTAATTTGAGGAGGGCCTACATTTATCTACAAACTTTCGAAGCCATATTCAGACTGTTCATTCATAAGGAATCTATTGTTAGTGCGTAAGTGTAAATCATCAAGTTTGACCTGCAAAGTTGCTCAACTGGAGCAGGATCCCTTGATTTCTTAATTGTTATCATATTACGATAGAGAAATAACGGGCTTCACGGTAGATGTATTGATTCAACCACTTCTTTTGTGGGTGTGGAGTTTTCTTTGTCTGTTTTGGCAAACAACGTTTTCTCCGTTGCACGCGCCAGATCACCAAGATGTCGCCTCTAAGTACTACAGAGCCATCCACACTCAGATCTGTCCAGTGAAGTGACTGAAATGGTTCACTACGCCTCCTGGAAATATGCGACGCAGTCGCTGGTTCGAAGAACTACTGAAAGTGTACCGGTCATCCATAAAACCAGAGGTCTTGTTATTACCGTTTAGCTAATGACTGCAATGCATACACACGTGGATGTGGAAACCATCAAATGAGAAGAAAACAATAAACCTGCTGATACTACCTGAAATCCGACGCCCGATGTGACGGGAAGCCCCCATGATTTCCGAGAACTAACATACTTCAAATCGAGGCGATATAAATTGTCAACAGTTGGGCTTGCATTGTGAGTGAAGCAAACAATTCAGTATAGAACCGTTACGTTCTTCCGCCAGTAATTGCAGAATTAAATTAGTCTCGGAGTATGTGACCTGTAGCCAAAGCTGAAGCTTCGATTGCGGAAGGGACACAAACTAGGCCTTTATAATCGACAATTAAGCATCCTACGACCCCTGTGAAGCATTTGCAGAACCGTATCATGGGGAAAATTTTATTGTTCAAATCTAGCGGAATCATCGGAACATATCCGGTAGGAGTCTTCTTAAATATCTCCGGAAAATTTCGTGAACACTTAATTACCCAGAAAATGCTTTTTAACTAGCTGCGTAAATGGAGCATGAGGGTACACGGATTTTTGATGCATGGCAAAAGGTGGGCGTCGAGCAACGAGGGGTGATTTATGGTCACTCGATGGTTAGCACACATGAATAATGCCATCCGACTTAACAAGAGGGGCCATGGGCTTACAATAGTCATTAATCGTACACGCTCTCAGTGTTACCAATCTTCAGTCGCAAAGAAAAAGGTTACGGGACTTTGAGGGGTCGATACTGAATCAGGCTGAAAGTTTCATGGTAGCATTTAAACCTTTCGAACCCGTCGACTGCATTCTGGTATTGGACAACATTTCACCAAGCTTCGTATCATGCGCTCCGGATTTAACCGTGGGTACGACATCCAGGCAGTCGTGATCGAAAGGCTTGAGACCGTCTCCTTCCAGCACACTGACCAGGAAGACGTGCTGGCGAAATATGTACTACGTTGTGGTGACCTGGAGAAGGGTCAGTCAGCTACAGGACCGTCCAGAATCGCTGATCCCCGTGATACATGAAACATGAAAAGCAGCTTAGTCACTATATTTTCTTGGGGCTGATTCACCCATGTAAGTACGCAGGTTCTCTTGGCAAGCAACCATCGCTAAAAATGGGGACTTTGGACCACTTTATAACTCCGCGCGAACTGGAAATTCTTCAATCTTCACAACTATGATGGTGACTGTGCACAGCCTGGAAGCTTTTATTCACTCTGACTTTTGCACGTGTACATGAATGGGTTCAACGCGCTATCGATGGTCTTACTTTTACAAAATCTGAGGATGAAACACTGAACAAGCGACAGACGCGCTTCAGTTTGGTCCGATTTGTCCCAGTCCAATATTGTCAGGTTGTTATATAGGGACTTGCTTCAGTGATCCATCATCGACCAGACATAGATCTGCATTGGGTATGCTAACAGGTCGAAACCAACGTGCCAGGTTCCGTTTGCAAGCGGGGACAAACGTTTTAACAAACCAGCGTCGTATCAACACACCGCCCTTTTAAATTCTGA